GACTTTAAGAGCAATGTAGAAACTGGTTCTAAAGATCTGGCTGGCAGACCACCAAAGGTTACATCGACCCAGAAGACACCTGGGTCCAAAACCGGACTGAAGTGGAGCAGAGCTGGAGTTACTGGATCAGCTGAGCCTCCCCCTTCTCCCCCTCCTCCTCCCCCTCCTCCCCCTCCTCACCATCATCATCATATTTATAAAAATCTATTTATTAAAGCCGTCACTCAGTGAAACACCATCTGTAACAGCGCCTCTGCTGGCGGCCGTCTTCACACTGTGATACCGCAGCAGCAGCAGCAGCAGCAGGAGCAGCTCGACTGTTAGGAGACCAGTGAAGTTCACCAGGTTCGTGCGTAAAAAGCCGTGCGTAAAAGCCTCCAGCTCGGTGCGCAGAGCTGTTTGGAACCGCGCTAAGTCGCGTTGTCACAGCGTAAATCCTCATGTGATGACGCTTACGACTTAGGCCGTAAAGCAGCCCCGGGCCGTCGCTCTCTGGGGCCAGTGTGGTTGAGGACAAATGTTTCCACTCACCGCGGCCTCCCGCTGACCGCAGGTCGTGGGTTCAACCTCAGACCGTCACGTTCGGGTCTCACCAACACACACAGATATTTATGAAAACATTTCCAATCAATTAATCTGGAGAAAAAAAACGGAACATTTGTCTGTGTTTGAGAAAAACCTCGGTTTTGTCGCTGCAGTCAAACCTGCTTCTCCATCCGACGCACGGTCCGTGTGCGCGCCGCAGCTTTAGACACACTTAATGCTGCACAATCTGACGAGAAACACCGGGTGTAGGGGACCGGGAGACGTGTGTGTGTGTGGTGGAGCCGGGGGTAGGGGGGAGGGGGGGGGCGACTAGGTGAGGGAACACCGTGTCCACGCGCACAGGGAATATTCCAGGGAGTCTCTGTAAAAACTCGGGTTCAAGGACTAGGACGCGCGCACCCGCCCGCGTTATTCAGCCCTGTAATAATAATGATAATAACAATAATAATAATAACAACAATAATAATAGTAATAATATTTCACACGTCCACCTTCAGCAGCAGGAGTTCATTTTATTCTCATTCTTATGAGACACTTTGACAGAAGAGACTCTGGAAGTCATACTCTCTCTCCCTCTCTCACCCTCTCACTGAGGATAGATTATTTGGAAATTAGATACCATCATCATCATCATCATCATCATCATCTTCATCAACCAAACCGCTCATGTAAACGCTGTTAAATAAATGGTTCTGCTGCAGCAGGAGCTGAAAGGCAGCGGTCCGTTCTAGGAACTGTCTGCAGGAACCACGTCCTGTCAGACACACACACACACACACACACACAAGGCCGAGTGTCCTGACTGTCCGCCCGCAGCTGGAGCTCTACATCTGAAACTGCTCCGTGCCTCGGAGCATCAGCGCGTGCACGTGCACGTGCCCTGTTCCTTTTTTTTTTTTTTACAGGTGGATGTCTTCATGAAATATAAGGCAGCGTGGATGATGTGCGGCACGGCCGCGAGGCCACAGATCCTGGGAGATACAAATATAGATGCTTTTTTTTTTTTTTTACAGTGAAGTTTAAAATAATGATGCAGAGAGTGAAGTGAAGAGTTGAGCCGCGGCTCCGACACCGGACTGGAGGTGCGCTGCAGCCAGTGGCAGCAGGAGGAGGTTGCAGTGCGCAGTGATGGTGCGTTCTAGTGGGAATAAAAAAAAAAAAAAAAAAGGTTATTCCGTGTGTTTCTCTCACCTGAGTCATGAGCCTGTCGGCACCGGTGTTCTCCTCATCCTTGAAGATGATGTCAGTGTTGTAGTTGGGAGTCAGCTCCTTAAATCGCTCCGAGTTTCTCGTGATCTTGCCTTCGTATCTGCCGCTGGCCCCCAGGGTCTTCTCCGCCACGTTGGGGATGAACTGCTTGTACGCCAGAGGTGTCAGCTTCTTCGGGTGCTTCCTCCTGCCGTAGCCCCTGCCCGGTCCACAGCCCATCCCGGAGGACAGCAAGGACAAGCAGATGAGAGCGACCGAGGCGACGGTGCTCCAGAGAACCATCTCCGAGTCTTCGGCTGAATCTCTGCTCCCTGTAAGATGAGGTGAAGCGCGGCTCCGCTGCTGTCCTTCTCTCCGCCGTCTGCCTCCACTAATGTCCTTGTCTCCTCCGCTGCTGCTCCGTGTCCTGCTGTCTACCGTGGCAGGTGCGGAAATGGACGCCTGACAGAGAAACGGCAGTGGCGGGGGGCGCGCGGAAGGAGGGTTCAAAAAAGTAGAGGGGAATTAAAAGCCACGGGATCTGGAGTGGAGTGGAGCTGCAGCCGCCTGTGTGAGGGCGACCGCTTTTACTGCTTTGTATTATAGCAGCCGATCTATAGCAGGGGAGGGACCTGATTGGCTGGCCCAGACAAACCCTCCTGATGTTAGCCCGCACAAAAAAACCTTAAAAGATTTCTTCCACCTGAGGGTGAGCCCGTGCTGCCGGGGAGG